ATCGTAAACAGTGCCCACAGCTGCCTCGGCGCCCCCGCAGGCGGCGATCTCCAGCCTCCGGCCAGCACCTCACGCGACCGCAGGCCCAGTGGCGCTCTACGCAGGCAAGCTCCAGCGAGGAGGCAGCGAAGAAGGACTAGTATTTCAGAAGGTATGAACGAAACGAGTTCTGATGATCGGATGTCGCTCCTGGAGGGCCACCGTGCAGCATGCGGAAAAAGGACGGTCAAAATGGGAAAGAGCCATCTGGACAACCTCACAGAAAGAAAGCCCTGCACAACCTTGCAAAACATCACACGCCAAATTCTGCAACGGCGCCAACTGTTACTCTACACGTGCCCAATCCCGAACACCCTTAACCATTGCAACACGGCGGCCGAACTGGTTGGTGTGTAAGTAATCGTACACGCATACCTGTACATGTGCACGTACATATACCTAGACGTGAACGGAGCGCATACTTGTACATACACATACACATACACATACACATACACATACACATACACATACACAAATACATATACAAATGCACGCATGTACGCATAATATACAGATACAACTACAAACACCAATATCTATACACATACACAAGTATAGACATAGGCTAGACATAGAAATGGACCTGTAAATGCGCAAGTGCATATACAAATACTGTACAAGCACATACACTCGTACATACACATATACACAAACACACATATAAACCTAAAGATCCACAGTACCTCGAACATCTACGTATACCTACACATGTATGGTGTTACAAATCCATACATATACGTAGGAATATGCGTATATATGTGCACAATAAAACGACTACGATATGCATGTATACACAAACACCTGCACATAAACAGACACGTATACCTACACATATACGTGCGCATGTACATATACATGTACATACACATATGCATGTAAACATACATGTGCGTATACGTATACTTACACATGTACATCTGTATAAGCCTATACATATACATATACATATACATATATACATGCCTACACTAACACAGACATAGACGTATACATGGACATATACATTTGCAGATACGTATGCAGGTGCATGCGCATATACATGCGCATGCATGTATATATGTATGTACACATATCTATATATACATGCGCACGTACATGTATGATTATATGCATATGTATATGCACGTGCACGTACACATGTACACATATGCAGACACATACAGATACGCATGCATCGACATATACATTACATGTACATATACCTATACAGACTTGTGCATACACATATACATGTACATGCACCGCTACATCTGCATATAAGCATTCATAGTTGGATGCATGTACATATACATCTAGATGTACATATGCATACACATACACATACACGTAGACATGTACACTGGCATATGCATATGCTTATATTTATAGGCATAGTTCAACCACTACGTACACATATACGCATGCATACACAAACACATGCACACGGACATACACATATACATATACGTACACATGTACATGCACATGCACAAAATCATGTACCCGTACTTATACCTAAACATACACACATAGCTGTACATAAATGTATAAATACACACACACACACACATCTACACATGCATGTAGATATCCGCCGCCGCGCCTCGAAGCACGAAGTGGAGTTACCCCCCGGTAATCATGTGCTCCCTGTTCTCTGTGCTTAGGACTGGGGAACTCTAGCCAAAATGTTTCAAAATTCCCGGGCGCCCCCGCGCGCTCGCGGTCCGCCCCGCGCGACTTTCCGGAGGCCAGGGGGGGCGGGGGCAAAACGGGCCGAGAAGGGCCCAAGAGGGCCCAAGAGACCTCCAAGACAGCCCAAGAGCACTTCGAGACGCCCGAAGATGGCCCCAAGACGGCCTAAGCAGCCCCACAACAACACCAAGAGCGCCCCAAGAGGACCCCCAAGAGGGCACAAAGAGACACAAATCATTAATGCCCTTGTGTTGTTCTATGAATTTCGCGTTTCTGGGCCCCCGGCGCTCTAAGACGGCACCACAGGCCCCCAAGACCAATCCAAGACGGCCCAAAAGGCCCCCAAGAGGGCCCCACGACTGTCCAATACAGCACCCAAACGGCCCAAGAGGCGCCCAAGATCGCCCACGAGGGCCCCAAGACGGGACCAAGAGGGACCCAAGAGGGGGAACGCGAACCGACAATCCGAGCCTTCCGCCCCAAGGGGCCCCCAGGAGGCCACGCACCGCGAGGCCCCCAAGAGGCCCCAAAAGAGGCCCCACGGGGCCCCACAACTGCCTCCAATATGCGCCTGAGAGGCCCCCCGCGGTATCCAATCGAACATCCAAGAGGCCTCTAGACCACAACCCAGGCACGATGGTGGGATGGGACGAGTGTCACTAGATACATACACATGTGAATTCTTTATCATGCCAAGCTGCCCAAGGGGTGTCTCTAGTGTCTGTACGGTGGACCACATACGCGCGAAATCTATACACTTTCCCGCATCATTGATAGCTGAGCCCTCTGCCAGGGGGTGGGCGTGGCCCAGGCGTTTCGCCTCCCTGCGAATGGCGCGATCCGCGCGATCAAACTCCCCAGCCACAGAGAAAGGGAGCGGGGGCGGCGCCTGGCGCATCAGCTGGCACCATCACTCGGTCCGACGGGAGTCGGCGAGGTGGGCTATACATCGAAATCTCGGCGAAAGTTCGCGCAGCGCACGGGACACGCGCCAGAAGCATCAACGCACAAGCGAGCTGCACACCTGAGTTGGTGCTTCATGCGCTGACGCATCTTCAACGCTTTCAAGGCGAGAAAGGCGGCACGGTCGGCACGCGCACTGCGCGCAAACGGCAACTGCTGCGGCTCGCGCGCACTACGCTGACTAGCGCGCGAAGGGGCACCCTCACAAGCCTCGGGCAGACCACGAGAGCCACACACAGACGAGACAAAAAAGATGCCCAGAACCTTTGCACGCCTCTCGGCAACATGTTGCAGGACAAACTCATGCCACGCGCCACTGTACACAAGAGGGTTGGGAAGGAAGGAGAAGGCAGGGACATACCTTCACATGCGCGTGAGATCGTCGCGGAGCAACTGTACCCACTCCAACGCCCGATCGTTCACGCGCGCCTGACGCAAGGCCTGGAAGGGACCAGGAGCGTCAAAAAATAGATGAACGAAATACAACAACCTCCTTCGCATGACTGAACAGTCAATGGAGAGCCGATTCAAAAGCACGCTTATCTGACCGTCACCATACTGGGTTTCTCCGAAGTCGCGGTCTCCACCAGTGCGTCGAAGAATACGCATGTTGGGGCTACTGAGGGCTCCCAAAGTCCCCGGGTATGCTACACATGATGTGAATATTGAACAACAGCCGGCCGTGCATGAGCAACGAGTCCGCAAGGGCAAGGCGGACGCTACTACACAACTCAAAGGTAGCCGGGGCATACGCACGCATCGTTTGCCGAATTTTGTGATCAGCGTCACGCATAAGACGGCAGGCAGGCGCCGAGACACAACCTAGATGCTTATACTCGCTGGCAACATGCAATTCGACATCACGTTCCGGAAAGAGAAAGCAACGCGGATCATTGTGCTTGAGTCTAGCGTAATACTTACCACTCTGCTTGCCACGATACACCACCATGCACTCAGACTTGCCAGGCCTCCAATTAATCCCAAAGCGAACGCAGCGAAGTTCTGCACTACAACCTTAAGCAGGGCTGCAATGAAACTGTTGAGGCGAGTGGGAGTGGAGGCGAGGAGGACGAGACACTCGTCATCGACAAAGACTGCGTGGATCATGCGTTCCTCATGCATATGCTGTGCGCGCGCGGGGGTCATGGCACCATAACGGGCTCTCCGCCCGTGCCAATCTGAGACCTAGATTGTGGTTATCAAGCTCCACAAACAGCACGACCAATGCTATGCTATGCGCGCCGTTGAACACCACAGTGCCGACAACGCAACCTTGCCGTCCTCCCGTGAAGGTCCGCACCACGTCGGGGAGATCAGCGTGCATGAACCACGCCATGCGATGCAAACGCGCTATGAGCTCAGCAGTCTTGAGATCGACCTGCCACCGTTGGAATGCGGAGCCGAACAACCCAAGATGCACAACTATTCGGCGGGCGGCGTCGGGGAACACGCCGAGAGTTGAGGTAAGGAAGAGGATCAGAAAGCTGCTGCTCTGTCATGCCATACACGAGCTCGCGAATCACTCGATCGAACGCTTTGGCTAGATCGAAAAACGGAACATGTACACACGCATCCTGCATATTGGCGAGGCTCAGAAGCATGAGAACGAGATGAGAGGCAAAGTCTGTGCCACGCTTCGCGGTAGCACCACACTGCATACTAGGTTGCCGAGCATTACATAGGCTAGTCAGCATGTAACGCAACGGGTAGGTTTGAGAAAAAAACAACAACAGAAACAACAACTACAAAAAACAACCAAAGAAAAAAACGTTCGCCGAATGATCGGTCAATAAAGTGCCTCGGGAATTGTCGGGGTCCTCTTCGCTACTCTCTTCTTATGAATGTCAACAAGGCGGCCTCCTGTCGACGAGAGAGGCCAACGTTCCTGTTCTAGTATTCACGCGCAGCTCAGAAAGTTTTACCGAAAGCGGATCGATGGCGGCACATATCAGCTCTTCTGGGATCCCATCGTTGCCAACGCCCTTGTTGCTTTTCAAGAATGAGAAGGCACGACGGGCGGCGCTGGGTGAAACGTCAAGCGCACCGGTAGCAGCACAGTACTGGAACGAGGCGGCGGTACGCTTTCGGCGAGCTCATCGAATGAAACTAGCTCGCCACAGAAGACGTGCGGGAAGTGGCCGCGCATGAGATCATCACGCTCTCCACGCGCGCTGGTGAGCTCACCATCTGGGCGGCGAAGGGCAGCAGGAGCAGCAGCAGCAGGCATCCCCCGGCCAGACAGCGCGCACGATGGCGTACATGGTGCGGGCGTCGCCCTTCACGTGCGCCCAGTGCGCCTCCATGGCCTTCTCACCGATCCAGACCTAGCGGTCGGCCTTGACCAGCTGCCGCGAGATCAGGCCGACGGCGCGAGCGGTGCAACGCAGCCGTGCCGAGAGCCGCCTGGAGGCCGCCAGGACGCGAGCAGCGTCGGCGCTGGCCCCGCGGGCGCGCCATCCCCGCAGCGCGGGCGGCGGAGCAGCGCCGGGTGCGTCGGCGGCGGGCTCGTAGCCAGCAGGCAACACCGACGCGAAGGCGAACCACGCGTTCCGCAGCAGCGCGAGCCTCTCCAGCGCGAAGCCCTTGTGGCGCAGCCTCACCAGCGGGGCCACCATCTGCACGACGCCCCACGAGGTAGTAGACACCCACGGTTTCCCCGGGCGTTTGGGAGGGGGGCCGAAGGTGACGATCGACTGACCAGTCGGATCCGCCTTGAACGCCCACATCTTCTGGCAGAAACGATCCACCAAGATGGGGTCTGAGAGCTGAGACTTGTCAAAGAGGACGCGCGCCTGGCCAGCATTCCCAATTTCGGCTTGGCATACCTCGTCCTTCGTAAACATCAGGTCGACAACAATCGGTCTATGATCAGTCGATCCATCCAGATTGGGGTCAACGTTCTCGTCCGCATAGGCGTGCTGGATGCACTGCTGCTGCGTTCACACAGACGTAGTCGATGCGAGCAACAGTGCGATATGATACATCCAGGTCCACGAAATCGGAAAGCGTGTGTTGGCAGCACACAGCCCAGTGTTTTCAAGTAAGCGCCTGAACCTCGCGCCGTTCTGATTTTCGACGTCACGATATGCATAGCCAAATGCCGACGACGCCACACTGCCAACACGAGCGCTGGCATCGATCATCAGCACTACTGAGTAGGAGGGAAATTTGCGTACGTATGTAGAAAACCAGGTGCCGCTCAAGCTGCTCCCAGAAGTCGTCCTTCTCGCGTTTGCGGGCGCACTCATGAGGGGCATGGGCGGAGCAGAGCAGGTAGATTGTGTTGTCCGCACGCGAGACACCCACAACAGTCACCACCCTCGGGCAAGGCTGTACGAAAACATCCGCCGAGAACTGAAGTGCATTCGAAACCCAAATCTAAGAACCATATCGTGACTCAGATATGCATGTACATATACCTGTCCGCCGGCCTCCTTGTGGGGCCACCAGGCTGTACGGCGAAGTTGCTGCTCCCTGCACAAGTTGCAGTTTCAAGTCTCCAATGTTACAGTCCTGCTTTCGATTGTTGAACTCCGCGCGAGGGGGGGGGAGGGAGCCCCAAACCAGCCGGTTACCATGCCTGGATGTGGGATACGTAAATACATGAGATTCGCGCGCCCGAGGCCATAACCCCACGTAAATTACTCAATGTCCGCGTCCCCGAGGCCAAAAACCTTCGCAAATCATACAATTCGTGCGTCTTCGAGGCAACAAGCCGTAATAAATTACACGATGGCCCCGTCCCCGAGGCCATAAACCACTGCAAATCACACCGAATTCGCATTGCCGAGGCCAAGAGTGCTCCGAGGCGCCCGAAGATGGTTCCAAAATGGCCCAAAGAGACCCCAAGAGGCCCCAAGAACGCTCCAAGAGGGCTGCCGAGACAGCCTCAAGAGGCCAGAATCGTCGATGTTATTAAAAATTTCGAAGGATTTTGACATTCTCGCATTTTCGGCTTGCCGACGCTCCAAGGCGGCTCAAGAGGCTCCCAAGACCGCCCCAAGACAGCCCAAGAGGCCTCCAAGAGGCCCCCAAGACGGCCCAAGAGGGCTCCAAGATTGCCCAAGAAGCACTCGAGACGGCCCAAGAGGGCCCCAAGACGGCCCCAAGAGGGGTCCAAGCAGGAGACCACGAACCGAAAATTCGATATGCGTGGCCCGAGAAGCCCCCTGGAGGGCTCAAGAGGCCGCCAAGAAGCCCCAAGAGGCCCCAGAGAGCGCGCCCACGACACAGATACACATGCGTGCGTATATCAATACGCGTATACATACACATCCACATAGACATGTACATATATATATATATGTACAAAGGCACGCACATACACATACTCATACACATACACATACACATACACATACACATACACATACACATACACATACACATACACATACACATACACATACACCCACACATACGCATACACATACATGTACACATACACATGCATACACGCGTACACACATACATGCACATACACGTACACGTACACATACACATACAAATGCACCGACCTATACACATACACATACACTTACACATACACATACACGCACACACTCACATACACCTAAATATGCATATATGCATAATTATATAGATGTGCATAAAACATGAACACAAACAAACATATATATATACAAGACAGATGCATATACATACAGACATACCTATACATGCACATGCACATATACAAATCCGTACATGCACATACACCCACTATAGGCATCTACACACCCATACACATATACAAATACACAAGTATACGCGAGTACATGTGCATGCACATGTGCGTCTACATGTGCATATGCATATACAGCTACATATACATATACATGTGCCTACACGTATAATTACACATACACAGATAAGTATATGTATATGTATGTATATATAGGCAGCCTGTATATATATACTGATACACATACGAAGACAGACCAAGACACCTAAACATACAGATACACATACCCTTACACATACACATACACATGCCCATACCCATACACCTTCACATACACATACACATACACTTACACATACCTATACGCATGCACATACACACATACAACTACACATACAAATGCACATACAAATACACAACCGTACACACGTATACACAACAATACGTATACCTATGCATGTGCAAAGACATGCTCATATGCATAGGCATATGCATATCCATCTACATCTACATATACATGTACAGGTGTCTACACATAGACATGCATATGTGTGCGTGTGTATATATACACACACATACGTATGCCTATACATAAACGTATACCTACACATACGCATAAACATCTGCATACATATCTATATATATACACACAAGTGGCACGTGTGTGCCCAGGCTCATACAAAAAACTGAAAGGGCGTTTGAAGCAGGAAGACACCATGACGGCGGGATCGGAGATGGACAAGGGGAAGCTGGGGCGGCGCCGCCAGGGCGTGCCTGAAGAGGAAGAGGCAGGATGTGAACGCAGAAGAATCTAAGATCGAGGGACAGAGAAGGAGGAGAAGAGGAGGAGGATAGCTGCTGGGAGTGAAATGCAATAGCGAGGTCGCACTCGCACGCAACTGGGGTTGCCACACCTTGCGATGTGTGTACCAGGGCCCCCCCAGGAAGCCTCAGGAGGCCCGACTTGGATACCAAAAGAGGCTCCAGGAGGCCCCAGGATTGTGAGTGTTGTGTGTGTGTGTGTGATGTGTGCTCTGTGTTGTGCGTGTTTTCTGTGCGTTGTAGGTGTTGTGTGTGTGTGTTATGTTTGTCTAGCGTGTGATGTGTTGGGTGTGATTTGTGTCTCTGTGTGTGCATGTAGTTCTGAGGCCCCAGGAGGTCCCAGGAGGCCCCAGGCGGCCCCAGGAGACCCCAGGAGACCCCAGGAGGCTCCAGGAGGCCCCAAGAAGCTCCAGGAGGCCGCAGGAGGCCCCAGGAGGCCCAGGAGGTTCCAGGAGACCCCCAGGAGGCTGCGAGGCGGGGTCTGGGGTACCAGAAGGTACAGAAAGCCCCAGGAGGCCCCAGGAGTTTCCAGGAGGCCCCCAGGAAGCTCCGAGGCGGGGTCTGGGGTACCAGAAGGTACGTCGGGGCTCGATGTTGGGAGAATGTTTCAGGCGAAAGCGCCATTCTCTGAGAATCGGGGTCAAAATTATTGAAATTACGATGTGTTTTTGAAGGTGTTATGTTAAAATGTTGAAATTCCTGTGTTTTGGGACCCTGACGTCACGATCTGCGTGAGGGGTGCCACCGATTCTCAGAATGTCGAGGATGTCCCTAGCGAAACGGCCAGAAAAATCGCGAACGACGCGGCGCGTACGCATTAATCGCCTCTGAGCTCTACTCCCTCGGAGAGGTGCGTATGAGAATACACATATATCTATGTACTAGAACCACGCGCGCTTCGCGCGCGCTTAGGCTCTGGTCGCGCTCGAGGAACTATCATCACAAATTGCCGTTGGGCACTGCCAGATTGACTCGGGAATTCCCTTAAGGTTAGTCGTGGGACCTGCCACCATTTGATATGGTACCTCAAACGTCGTGTAAAGGGGTCTTTGGGGGGCTTCTACGACGCTTCGCCTGGGGCTGAAAGAGGACAAAAGAAAACAGGGTACCCGAGTCTGGCTCCGCATTGCCCGGTGCCCCGGGGCTGGGACTTCAAAGCGTGTATGTATGTATGTACAGATGTGTACACATACATAATATGTATGTCTGCCTGGATATATGTGTATGTGTGTGTTCGCCTGCGTGTATATATACATATATAAACATATGCAAATTCATATGCATCGTATATCGGAGGTGGGGGTGAGATCGAAGTGGAATGGAGAGCCCCCCTACCGGGAAATCGATTTCGGTTTCGTGTTCGTGCGTGCCGCGCGTGCGGGCGAGGCGAAGCTGCGTGGGCGGGCGAGAGAAAGTCTCCTGTGGCTGAGGCGCGGCCGGACCAAATGTCTCCCTTCTGGGCGGCCGGGGCCCCGCGGTGTCCCGCCGGTGTCCCGCTGGTGTCCCGTGTGGCTGAGGCGCGGCCGGACCAAATGTCTCCCTTCCGGGCGGCCGGCGCCCCGCGGTGTCCCGCCGGTGTCCCGTCGGTGTCCCGTCGGTGATGATGATGATGACGATGATGATGATGATGATGATGTTGACAACGATGATGATGATGATGGTGATGATGATGGTGGTGATGATGGTGAGTTCGGTCGTGAGATCGATAGTGAGACCGAATGTGAGATCGATTGTGAGATCGATTGTGATATCGATAATGAGGTCGATAGTGAGACCCAATGTGACATCGATAGTGAGATCGATAGTGAGTTCGATAGTGAGATCGATAGTGAGACCGAATGTGAGATCGATTGTGATATTGATTGTGACATCGATAGTGAGATCGATAGTGAGATCGAACGAGAGGTCGATCATGACTTCGATAGTGAGTTCGATAGTGCTATCGATAAGCATATCGATTGTGAGATCGATAGTGAGTTCGATAGTGAGATCGATAGTGAGACCGAATGTGAAATCGATTGTGAGATCGATTGTGATATCGATCGGATGAGATCGATGGTGATATCGGTAGTGAGATCGATCGTGAGACCGAATGTGAGATCGATCGTGAGATCGATAGCCAGATCGATTGTGAGATCTATTGTGAGATCGATTGTGATATCGATAGTGAGATCGTTAGTGATATCGAGTGTGAGATCGATAGCCAGATCGATTGTGAGATTAATCGAATGAGATCGATAATGAGATCGATAGCGAGGTCGATAGTGAGATCGATCGAGTGCGACGCTGGTCCCCCTACCCCACCCCCTCGCCTCCTTATCACCCGAAGGGTGGACT